TCTGAAAGTGGGAGAGTCCAAAGCTAGAGAGCATAGGTTTAAGGTGAGAGGGGAAAGATTTAAAAAGGACCTCGGGGGGTGGGGCAGGGGGGCAATCTTTTTCATGCAGAGGGTGGTGCATGTATGGAATGAGCTGCCAGAGGAGGTGGTGTAGGTGAGTGCAGTTACAACATTTAAAAAGCATCTGGATGAGTATCTGAAGCGTTTAGAGGGCTATGGGCCAAATGCTGGCACATAGATCTAGGTCAGATCGGGATGCCTGGTTGGCATGGACGGGTTGGACGAAAGGCTCTGTTTCTGTGCTGTATGACTTTGACTTCTGTCTTGCTGTCATCATAATTTACATCATAGTAGTTCAGCAGTGGCTTTTCTTTCACTAATTGATTTTTAGTAAATATCAGCTTTTATTCCATGCCCAATACCACTACATATCCTAGGCCATGAGTTGTTGTAATAGTTCTCAAATTTGTGCAAAAGTTTTTCCAAATAGTTGACAAATCTAACGAATCATTGCATTTTATTTACATTACTGCTGCAACTGTAACCTTCACAGGATCCAACTGAAAACCTTTTGCTTTCAGTATGTGGCTTATGTACTTGAGCTCAGGCATCATTAATTGTAATTTGTTCTTGTTCAACTTCGGGTAATCTCACGAGCTCTGTCCACCAGTCACACTACATTGTGATGTAGCCAGTAGTGGCTTCTTCCATTGTGTCTTCACATTCATAAACCAGGGGATTTTCCCCTAAACTTCAGTAACTATCTTGTTCTCTGCATTGATATTCTTTTGCAGCAGAGGAAATGCCAAACTGTATTGCAACTATCTTTATCTTCTGACAAGCATTCAGAATGTAGTTTAGAGAGCTGATGCTTTCATCTAGCTTGACTTGCCAGTAATCATCCTTTTGCATCTAAGGATGGTGAAGATTTTTGCCTTTACAAGTTGTGGCAAAATTCCTTTGATGGTAAGAGTACTGAAATCTCTTTATGGCTTTATTTACACTCTTTGGATCAATGAAGAGTCTCAATTTTTCTGTTGATTGATGGCTAATATGCTGTTAATCCATCCTGGAGGCACTCACTTTCTTGATTATTCTTTGTTGGGTCTGCAATTTTCGTAACAAAGCACACACGAGATCACCAGGGATGGTTAGTTATTAATTTTATTGGTCAAACTTCAAATGTTACATGAGCAGTCCATCTCTACCCCTTTCCTTCCAATTCCAACTGCCACACCCACCCCGCCCCCGGGGTTCATATTCTCATAATTTTTATATCTGCTCCCACCCCCCCCTTACTTTCCTTCAATCATTGTACTCAAGCAACGGGGTGCTTGCCATTTTAGCAGTCAGCCCCGCCTTTTGCTAGAACATTCTGTCTGTGCTTTCTGCAGCTACGCAGTTTCTACTATTCTATTATTTTCCACTCAAGTAACTTGTACAATATACATTCAACTGCAGACATTTTATTTAAACATAAACAAAACATCTGCAGTTGAATTGATTAAACATAATCAAGATTTCTCCCACAACTCCCCCTTTTGATTCTTTTAAGCATTAACAAGAATTACCACACAAACAATGAAATTTCCACGTGTAAAAGCTGGGCTGGATTAAGAAAGCGGGCTAAACCATATTTAAGACATTAGACAAGGACATCAAGAGCAAGGATAATAATAAGGAAGATTATGATTCCTTGAACAATAGAGGTTCCCAGTGAGCCTAGCCATCTGGTGGCCCAGCTCCATAAGGTACTTGAGGGAGGTTGTTTTAATTTTATCATTTCTTTACGAGTATGGTCAGCGAGGTTAGTTATATTTTCAGAGTTATCAGGAATGTAGGTATGACATTCCTGACCACAAGTGCCACCTTTCTCAGCCAAGATCCAGTCCAGAGCTGTGTGATTCTGCATAGAGGTGGCTCGTAGGGCAATCATTTCAGCGTTAATTTTATCAAGAGCCTGAGAGCTGTCATTGGCTATCTGTTTTAGAATAGCTGCCATATTGATGTGTTCTCTGGCTAGCTTGGCTGTAATGTGCGGGGGGAACAAAAAAGCAAAGAATCGTTCTGTTTGTACATTCAACCTGTATTGATGACTGTGGGTGATGTGGACAGTGCAAGTCTCCTTTAATGTTCAACAGCTTTCACATTTCTTGACAAATTGTTCCAGTAAAATGGGTTCTTTGGTCTGAGTCAATGCTAGATGGAACACCCCAAAGGGGCATGTACTTCATAGAGAGAACCTTAGTGGTTTGTTTGCTGTAGCTCTTCTGGCAGGTGACACTTCCACCTGTTGTGAGAATCTATCCACTATAACTAGGACATCTCAGTATCCCTGGCACTTGGGGAGAGAGCTATAATCCACCTGCAAATGTTGGAAGGGTCCAGCAGGTGCAGGAAGTCTCAGTTGTGGCATTACCATGGTGGGTTCAGGATTATTCCTCTGGCACATGACACAGCAATCTGCCACAAGTTGCGCATGTCTCTTAAATCCTCTTCCCCACCAGCTTGTTTGGAATCTAGCCATCATCTGTAGAGGGACCAATTGCCCCCAGGAGTGTATTTGCTGTGCCAGGAAGGGCATTAACCCCTGTGGTGCAACTGGCTTATTTGTACCCCATTGTCTCCAACTACCATCTTCCCATAATTTTATTCCAGCCTCAATCCATGACCACTTTTCTTCCTTAGAACACTGGTCTTGTATTGTTCTAAGATCCTGTAATTTGCTCATGAACATTGTGTATTATAATTTTTCCTGATTAAAAACCAAAAGAACTGAGGATGCTGTAAATCAGGAACAAAAACAGAAGTCGCTGGAAAAGCTCAGCATGTCTGAGAGCATTTGTGAAGAAAAAAATCAGAATTAAAACTGAGAACAGTTCTTGGGAAGGATCACTGGACCCAAAACATTAACTCTGACTTTTTTCTTCACAGATGTTGCCAGAAATGCTGAGCTTCTGCAGTGGCTTCTGTTTTTGTTCTTAATTTTTCCCGATCTCCTTGGTTCATTTCCGTGTGGGGCTGCTCTTTTTGCTGCCTAATCAACCAAAGTGTTACCGTGTGCCTGTGTGGTGTTCTGTCGTGTATACGCTTTACGTTTCAGGGTTGCAACTTCTCGTGGCAGTTGAACGGCTTCTAGGAGGTCTCGGACCTCATCCCTGTTCCTGCTGCAGTAAGGAATTCCCTTTTTAGCCACGGGGGCCCAAAATCGTGTGCCATTCTGAAAGCGTATCGAGAATCTGTGTAGATGTTGGCCGTTTTCCTTTCAGCTGTCTTACATGCATCTGTGAGTGCTCATAGTGCCTGCCAGCAAGCTTCCTTGAGCTATTACTTCAAGCAAGCTGGTGACAGCCCATCCTGCTTTTCGAACACCGTCTTCTACGAAGGAGGACCCGTCAGTATACAGAGCAATGTCAGGATTTTGTAGACACTCTTCCGCTGCCTAAGCTGCTTCGACCAAGTGCTGCAAAATTTCCATGCGTTTGTCTTCATCACTCTTGTTGGCCTATCCCTCACCTCCTTGCAGCATTAATGGGCCTGCACGGACAAGGTGGAGGTTGGGGCCTTCTAAAGGGCTGTCCGGTGCCTCCATTGGGCTGCAGTTATCTGTGAAACACGGTTCATAGATAACATAGCATGGACTGTGTGAGGGCACTTGACAATAGCTTTTGAATGAGTACAATAGGGACAGTGGTCATGACAGCTCAAGACGTGGCTTCCATCACTCTCAGACAACTACCTCACCCCAATATCACAGAATCTAGCTGGGAGGAATAATAACTGATGGATCTCTGTCTGTCACCATGCTCCTATGTAAGGATGGCTTTCATGTAACCATCTTTCTCATGTACATAAATAGTAAATGGATTTCCATTGTCAGGGATTCCCAGAGTTGGAGCAGAACATAAGGCAGTCTTTAATTTCTGGAAGGCAGATCGCTGTTTGGGGGTGAACACTACTGGGTCTTTAGGTCATTGTTTTCCTTTAAGATCATTCAATGGCTGGGCCAATTGGGTATAGCTATCAATCCAGCTACAGTTAAAATTGCAAAGCCCCAAAAAGGATCTTAGTTCTCTGTGATTTTAGTGGGTTCTTTAGCAGTCCAAATAGCCGCTGTCCTGTCTTGCGTTGTCCCTTGTTTTCCTGCCGAGATTTTCTGCCTCACCACTTCCTCTCGGGCAATCTATGCCTTCTTAAGATTGGCTTTATGACCCACTCTCTGCTGGGTGCCTAGTTAGTGAACGTACAAAGTCATTAACCCAAATGATGAAATGTTTCTTGACAGCCACCCAAGGCAAGGTGCAGCTGTTTCTGATGGTCTGGGTTCGTATGCTGTTCACACTTTTCTACAGGTCCAGTGGGACCAACTCAAGTTCTTGTAAGTTCTGAAAGGATTAACCAGGTTAGCATAGTAGCAGACAGATCAAAAGTCAGTTTAGCTCAGTTCAGACAATTGCCTGTTTATTTCCAGATATCACTCAGTCTCTTTATAACTACTTTCCTACGGGTTACCATACAACCTCTGTGTCCAAATTTACCTCATTGTATTATTAATTCTTTGGTCAAAATGACCACTTCATGTTCAAATTCTAATCTTTGGTCATAATGACTGCCTCATGTCAAAAAGAAAAGTCTTTAGGTCATAATGACCACTTCATGTTCGGACTAAAATCCCTAGGTCAAATACGACCACTTCATGGTACCAAACGAAAATTCTTAGGTCCAAGTTGACTGCCTCATTTTGGTCTTTTCTGACCACTTAAACATGCCATTTAAACATGCATACTTGACAAAACTCTACCCCAAGAAAATGAGGCCATTGTCATTAAAAACTGACGTTAGAGCCTACCAGGCATCTATTCTGGAATTAAAATTCCATATGGGGTTCCCATTCCTTAAAAAAAAAGTGGGGAAGAGTAGGATGTATGCATTACACATGTTTTAAACTATTCAGATTTCAGACAAGGATAACAACAGAAACAACTTTTATCTCTCCCTAGGACAACCATGAACACACGGGACATAATCAAGGTCTGTTTCATCAGGGCCATCATTGTCACTGGAAACAACACACAAGAAACACCAGACAGACCAGGATAAATGTACCTAGGGTAGTTCTGGTTCAGCCCACCAGACACAGGCGAATGTGAAGATGGTTTGCTATGGGTATACCCCAATAAAAGTATAATGTTCGGTGCAACAACCAGCGGGCAGTATATAGAAAAACAAATAGGAGCTCAGATGATCGCTACCTGAATATAGAGATCGCGGGATTCTCAATGGGTGCCCCGAGATAGATGCTTAGCAAGCGGCCCAGAAAAGGGATTGGAACTCCAGACATCGATGTCCCGGAAACTCATAGAAGAGAAGTTTGTTCTGTACGAGATTAGGAACAGCCTAAATCCACCCGCAGAGACACCCCAACCCATTTGTCCTGAAGCCACCCCACTCCACAAAACAGGCTAGTTTTAACAACATGCCTGTACCCAATTTATTTGAATGAACATGCACTGTGTGTCTTTAAGACAAACACCAGTCTACGTTGTCCCATAGAGGCTCGCAAGCTGGACACCTACGTAACCCAGGTAGCCTACAGAGGAGAAGGGGAATATTGTCTCACAGCCTCACTTTGTGCTGTCCCATGCTGATACATTCTATGTAATGTCACCAATACCACCTTCTGCATTCGGCCGCACGTACCTGCCAGGATAGGCCTAATTCAGCTGATAAATATACACAAAAGGGAAAAGGTGGAATTTAATGCAAGTGAGGAACTCCGGCAAACTCTGGGGTAGTAACTGGAGATGTATGACACTGGTCTCAAAGCCCGGCTGGAGGAATTACACCAAATTCGAACCCAACTGGCCACAGCCCATAGAACATTCACCAAGGTAGTACAACAGGCCGCTGATGTCAAAAAACGAATAAAAGAAATTAAAGTTACAACATGGTGGGAGGATTTCTGGGACTGGAGCTCTAACATACAAATCAATCCTTAGGTCCATCTTGTGTCACATCTGTGGCTGTTCTTAATCCTGGTTCCCTGGTATATCTCATCATCCTCACTGTCAAATTTGCCTGGTGGAAAAGAGAACTATCACAAAAACTGAACATAGAGACCTCACTCAATTCACTGTCTCCACAAGCCTATTAAAAAGGCACCCTATTGCAACATTGTAAATATTTGTTTATCCTACTATTTGTATAAAATGTTCCAGATTATTTGTTCACTTGTACACGCTGACCCTTGTTCGACCACAGTCTGCTGTATGTATGACTCTGGTTTTGTAATGTTTGTTTGACTTTTGCTAAGAATTCCCAATGTCTTATTTATTTCTAATTTACCAAGCTTGTTTGATTAGGCGTTAAGTCCGAATTTTGATGTTCCATTCATGTAGAGTTTGATGTTTTCTTGATCTCAGTTAGATGCAATTTTCCAATGCACTATCTGTAAGAGTTTAGTTGTTTGAGTGTATGTTGTACTTTGCTTGAGCTTGGATGATCATACAGTTGCCACATGGAAATTGGTCTGTGATTATGTGATCCATTACATTTCATGTTCAGGATCAAGAGGAGGGACTGTGGCCGGATGGGCCACTCAAAATGGCGGACTTACGAAAAACCGGATAATAAATAAAGCATGCTGGGAAATTAAGCCAGGCAAAGGCCAAAAGTATCAGTGCTAAAAAAAACAAGCTGCACATGCAGACAGGCTGCAGCTGCAGACAGCACAATATACAATTGACCCAGCCCATCCCCAGGACAACAGGAAACATTGAGTTGTATTCCAGAACAACGGGGTGCCTCACACCCTTATTTGAGAAAGGCTACTTGTCCTACATGCCCCAAACACCTTCAGGAATGGAGGCCCAAGGACCACCCCACCATCAACACATCAACGCCTGATTGATCGGACCCAATCAGGGTAATCAAGCCCTGATTGATCCATTAGCAGGAATCAAAGAACCTCCCAATAGGACATGAAAGTTTCCAGGTATATGAATTGCCGCAATACCACCCTTGGGAGCGGTAACTCGAAACCAACAATCGTGAAGAGGAGCCAACCCTGGGAGCACTGGGAGAAGAAGACCAGACGATCATTGGCACGTGCATCAAGGCCAAGATCTAGACTGGTGCTATTTGATCATTCAAAGTTAAGTTAAAGTAAAAGATAGTTAATTAGATTTATAGCGGTAATTGTTAGTTTGTCATGTATTTTGTTATTTTAGTATTAATTGTGTTGAAGTAGATAAAGATGATTTCTTATTACTATTAAGAGTCGACTTGCAGTTTCTTTGCTAGATAGAAGGGTTAAAACACTGTGTGGCAGGTGCGACAACATATAGGTGGCCTTGCTGATCTTAAAGGGCCCTATTCTGTCCCTAGTTACTGCTTGTCCTTAATGTATTTGTAGAGTCTTTTTGAATTCTCCTTAACCCTATTTGCCAAAGCTATCTCATGTTCTCTTTTTCCCCACCTGATTTCCCTCTTAAGTATACTCCTACTGTCCTTGTACTTGAGGCATTCACTCGATCCAATCTGTTTATACCTGCCATATGCCGCCTCCTTTCTCTTGACCAGAACCTCAACTTCTCTAGTCGTCCAACATTCCCTACTCCTACCTGGTGTTGAGGAAACTAACAGGATTAAAGGCAGATAAATTCCCAGGGCCAGATAACCTTCATTTCTGAGTAATTAAGTGGTTTCCCCTAGAAATAGCAGATGCTCGAGGTCACCTTCCATGATCCTATAGTTTAGAGGATAGCTGACATAACTCCACTATTTACAGACAGGCCAGCTTGACAGCAGTCGTGGGGAAAAATGCTAGAGTCTATTATAAAAGATGTAACAGCAGAGCACTTGCAAGATAGTGGCAGTATCAGACAGTGTTAGCATGAATATGTGAATGGGAAATTATGCTTGAGAAATCTGCTGGATATTTTAGAGAATATAACTAATGGACTCCATAAGGTGGAGCCAGTGGATGTGGTTTACTTGAATTTTCAAAAGACTTTTGACAACATTCACACAAAAGATTAGCATGCAAAATTAAATCCCATTGCAATGGCAGTCGTGTACTGAAATGGATTCAGAGTTGTTTTGGCACACAGGAAACAAACAGTAGGAATAAGTGGATCTTTTTCCAAGTGACAGGCAGTAATTATTGGGATATCTCAATAGTGCTTGGGGGCAGATGATACAAAGCTGGGTGGGAGAGTATGCTGTGAGGAGGATGCAGAGGAGCCAAAGTGTGATTTGGACAAATCAAGTAAGGCTGGCAAATGCATGGCTATGCAGTATAAAGTTAGAAGTCCCACACCAGGTCATAGTTTGACTTCACCTGACGCAGGAGCAGTACTTTGAAAGCTTGTGATTTCAAATAAACCTGTTGGACTATAACCTGGTATCATGTGATTTCTGACTGTCCAACCCAGTCCAACACCAGCACCTCTACATCAATGCAGTATAAAGAAAAATAGATATGACATTATCCACTTAGGTAGCAAAAAAATGGGAGGGCAGGTTATTATCTGAATGATAATAGATTAGGAAAGGGGGATGTGTAGTGAGACCTGGGTGTTCTTGTGCAGCAGCTGGTGAAGAAGGCAAATAATATGTTGGCCTTCACAGTGAGTGGATGTTTTGCTGCAAGTGTACAGGGCATTGGTGAAACCACATTTGGATTATTGTATGCAGTTTTTGTCTGCTTACCTGAAGAAGGATGTTCTGACTATTGAGGGAATGCAAAGAATGTTTCCCAGACTGATTCCTGCGATGGTGGGACTGAAGTACAAGGACGGACTAGATCAGTTAGGACTATATTCACTGGAGTTTAGAAGAATGAGGGGAATCTCATAGAGGCCTATAAAATTCAAACAAAATTAGATACAGTAGATGCAGGAAGGATATTCTAGTTGTCCGGGGAGTTCAGAACAAGGGGCTACATTCCAAAGGATACAGGGTAGGCCTTTTAGGACAGAGATGAGGAGAGATTTCTTCAACAGTGTATGGAGCTGGAGAAATACAGCGGGTCAGGCAGCATCCGAGGAGTGGGAAAGTTGATGTTTCAAGTCAGTACTCTTCAGTTCTGAAGAAGGGTCCTGACGTGAAACATCAACTTTCCTATTCCACTGATGCTGCCTGACCTGCTGTGTTGTCCCTGACTCCAGCATCTGCAGTTCTTGCTTTCTTCAACAGTGGTGAGCTTGTGTAATACACTGCGACAGAAAGCTGTTGAGGCCAAAACATTGAATGTTTTCAAGGAGGGGATAGATATATTTCTTAGGGCTAAAGGGATCAAAGGATATGGGGAGAAAGCAAAAACAGGGTACTGAGTTGGATGATAAGCCATGATCATATTGAATGGTGGAGTAGAGTTGAAGGGCTGAATAGCCTATTCCTATTCCTTAAATCTGTTTCACTCTGCACAGATACTGCCAGAACTGCTGAATATCTCCAGCATTTTCTATTTTTATTTCAAACTTCTAACATGCGCAGTATTTTACTTTTATTTGATTGGTTAAATGTACTACATTTACTGAAAAGCATCCTTCAATAAGAACCAGGGAAGTCTGGTACAAATGTATTCAATAAGAAGGTTAGACCTTCTGAAAACCTTGAGTATCAAATCGGTCAATAATGAAGCCAATGCTTCATCCCCGTGTAAAGTGCCAACAGAATGAAGAAGAAAGCTTGAAACAGAGGTCCAAGAGACAGGAGAGAAGGTGATCATCAGAGTCAGAGAAGCTACTGAACGGATAAATTGTTCGAGAAGCCACGTGGATGGTTAAGAACTTGCCTGGATCCCAAATATCTTAATCAATCTTTAAGATCACTGCTCTGTCACGACACTCAAAGTGTTCAGATCAGTACAAGCACTGACAAGGATTTTCATCAAGTTTGTTGCTAGAAATAGTTACTGAAAAATGAAAGCCGATGAGGAACATTTGCTGTTGGCAACATTCATCATACCTTTTGGATAGTACAAATTCCTACATCTACCTTTTGGCCTTAAAGTGAGTCAGGATGCAAGTAGGAAAGTAGACAATGCATTCCGAGGATATGAAAGGATCAGTTGGGGCAGGTGATAATATCCAGATTTATGATATGGACGAAAAAGATCATGAGGCCATGTGAAAGCTGGGATGATGTGAATAAAACACAGGCATATGCATATTTAAGGTTACAGAATGTCAGTTATTCAGACTGGTGTGCACACTTGATGGAGTCAAACTAAGTCCCAAGAAAACCACAGGCATCTCTAAGATGGAAGCTACAAGAGACAAGAAAGAATTGAGAAGTTTCGTTGGTTTGAGAATTCTTTCTTACCTTGCTCATGACTACGCAGCAAATCTGTGACAGCTCATGAAAGAAGATATTGAGTACTAGCAATGAGTCAGATAAGAAGTGGGAAAAGGTCTCTTGCCCCAAAACTCTTCTTTTGTTCCCTCTTCTCCCAGGCACCCCACCCTATATTGGCTTCTTTGCTGCTTCTTCATATTACTTTGTTTAAGATGGGGAACAAGGATAATCCAGGAGATTGTAGTTCGGTCAGCCTTGCATCTTTGGTAGGGAAATTATTGGAGAAAATTCCTAGGTTTACTCACATTTAGAAAGGAATGGACTTTTTAGGGATAATCAGCATGACTTTGTGCAGGGAGATCGTGTCTTACAAATTTGATTGAGCTGTTTGAGGATGTGACGAAGATGATTAAGGGTAGGGCATTATTTACAAGATGTTATATACATGGAATTTATTAAAGCATTTGACAATGTCCCTCATGGTAGGCTGCTCCAGAAGATTAAGTCACATGGGATCCATGATGAATTAGTAAGTTGGATACAAAATTGGCTTGGTCATAGAAGACAGAGGATATAGAGGTGTGTTTTTCCGACTGGAGGTCTGTCCAGTGGTGTTTCGCAAGGATCAGTGCTGGGACCTCTGTTTTAACAGATATAAATGATTTGGATGAAAATATAGGTAGTCCAATTGTAGGTCTGCAGTTGACTCCAAAATTGGAGTCATGAATGGTAAGGAATATTGTCAAGGGATACAGCAGGATATAGATCAGTTGGTATGTTGGGCGGACAATGGCAGAGTTTAATCAGGCAAGTATAGGTTGATACAGTTTGGGAGGTCAAATACGGGAAGAACATAAACAATAAGTGGCAGGACCCTTAAGACCATTGATATACAGAATGATCTTGGTCCATAGCAAGTCCATTGCTCTGTGAAAGTAGCAACACAAGTGGATAAGGTGGTAAAGAAGGCATACAGCATGCTTAGATAGTAGGAACTGCTGATGCTGGAGAATCTGAGATAACAAGATGTAGAGCTGGATGAACACAGCAGGCCAAGCAGCATCAGAGGAGTAGGAAAGCTGACATTTCGGGTCTGGACCCTTCTTTAGAAATGTGGGAGAGGAAGGGGATTCTGAAATAAATAGAGAGAGAGGGGTAGGCAGATGGAAGGTGGAGAAAGGAGCAGATAGGTGGACAGGAGACGGACAGGTCAAGGAGGCGAGGATGGAGCCAGTAAAGGTGAATGTAGATGGGGAGGTAGGGTGGGGATTGGTCAACCCAGGGAAGACGGACAGGTCAAGGCGGCAGGGATGAGGCTGGTAGGTAGGAGATGGGGGTGGGGGTTAGTCAGTGAGGTGGGAGGAGCGGATAGGTGGGAGAAAAGATGGACAGGTCAAGGAGGCAGGGACAAGTTTGGCTGGTTTTGGGATGTGGTCGGGGGTGGGGAGATTTTGAAGCTTATGAAGTCCACATTGAGGCCGTTGGGCTGCAGCATTCCCAAGTGAAATATGAGGTGCTGTTCCTGCAATCTTCGGATGGCATCGTTGTGGCACTGGAAGAGGCCCAAGATGGTCGTCTCTCTGTTTCCATCTCTGGCAATGGAACAGTCCCTCTTCCCCATCCCCCACCTCTTCTTCTGTTATATCGATGACTGTATCGGCGCCGCGTCGTGCTCCCACGAGGAGCTCAAACAGTTCATCCACTTTACTAACACCTTCCACGCCAACCTTAAGTTCACCTGGACCATCTCCGATACCTCCCTCTCCTTCCTGGACCTCTCTGTTTCCATCTCTGGCAACCACCTGGAAACTGATATCTATTTCAAGCCTACCGACTCCCACAGGTACCTAGAATACACCTCCTCTCAGCCACCTTCCTGCAAGAATGCCATCACCAATTCCCAATTCCTTCGCCTCCACCGCATCTGCTCCCGAGATGAGGCATTCCACTCCCAGACATCCCAGATGTCCTCGTTTTTCAAGGACCGCAACTTCCCCTCCACAATGGTCGAAAACACCCTCGACCGCATCTCTCGTGTTTCTCACAACTCATCCCTCACACCCCCTCCCTGCAACAACAAAAACAGAATCCCCCTCGTCCTCTCATACCACCCCACCAACCTCTGGATTCAACACATCATCCTCCGCCGCCTGCAATCTGACCCCACTACCAAGGATATTTTTCCCTCCTCACCCATATCTGCCTTCTGGAGGGACTACTCTCTCCATGACTCCCTTGTCTGCTCCACACTCCCCACTAGCCTCACCACCCCTGGCACTTTTCTCTGCAACTGCGGGAAGTGCTACACCTGCCCCCATACCTCCCCCCTCACCCCCATCTCAGGCCCCAAGAAAACCTTCCACATTAAACAGATGTTCACCGGCACATCTGCCAATGTGGTATATTGTATCCGCGGTTCCCGATGTGGCCTCCTCTACATCGGGGAAACCAAGCAGCTTGGAGACTGCTTTGTGGAACACCTATGCTCAGTTCATGACAAACGACTGCACCTCCCAGTCTCCAACTACTTCAACTCCCCCTCCCACTCCTTGAACGACATGTCCATCCTGGGCCTCCTCCAGTGCCACAACGATGCCACCCGAAGGTTGCAGGAACAGCACCTCATATTTCGCTTGGAAACCCTACAGCCCAATGGTATCAATGTGGACTTCACAAGCTTCAAAATCTCCCCGCCCCTGACCACATCCCAAAACCAACCCAGCTTGTCCCCTCTCTAACCTGTCTGTCCTTTCTCCCACCTATCCACTCCTCCCACCCCAACCCCCACCCCTACCACCACCTCTTACCTACCAGCCTCATCCCTGCCTCCTTGACCTGTCCGTCTTCCCTGGACTGACCAATCTCCACCCTAACTCTCCACCTACACTCACCTTCACTGGCTCCATCCCCGCCTCCATGACCTGTCCGTCTCCTCTCCACCCACCTGCTCCTTTATTCATCTTCCATCTGCCTCCCCCTCTTTCTCTATTTATTTCAGAATCCCCTTCCCCTCCCCCATTTCTGAAGAAGGATACAGACCCAAAATGTCAGCCTTCCTGCTCCTCTGATGCTGCTTGGCCTGCTGTGTCCATCCAGCTCTACACGTTGTTATCTCATACAGCATGCTTGCTTTCATCAATTGGGGCATTGAGTATAAAATTGGCAAGTCATGTTGCAGCAGTATAAAATGTTAGATTGGCCACATTTGGAGTAATGTATGCTGTTCTGGTTGCCACACTACAAGAAAGATGTGGAGACTTTTGGAGAAGGTGCAAAAGATGTTTACCAGGATGTTGCCTCAATTGGAGAATGTATTAGATGTAAGGAGAGGTTGGACAAACCTGTTTTTGCTAGAACGTTGGAAGCTGAGAGGTGACCTGATAGAAGAATGTAAAATTATGAATAGTGTGGATAGTCAGAGTCGTTTTCTCAGGGTGGAAATATCAAATACTAGGGGATATAAGTTCAAGGTGAGAGAGAAAAAATGTAAAGGAAATGTGAGAAGCAAGTTTTTTTCTTACACAGATGGTGTTACGTGCTTGGAACACGCTGCTAGTGGAGGTAGTAGAAGCAGATACAATAGCAACGTTTAAGAGGCATTTAGACAACCATATGAACAGGCAGAGAATAAAGGGATACTGACGACGTACAGGTAGATGGGATTGGTTTACACTGACATCATGGTCAGTGCAGATATACTGGGTGAAGGATGTATTCTTGTGCTGTACTGTTCTATTTCTATATTTGATCAGCTGTTGTTCCAAACCCAAAAGACAGACCTACAAGTCCACCCATGGCTACTATAAACCAGAAAGTGGAGAAAAATAAGCATCATACCGTTGTGGGAAATTAGAATTCACTTGAGGTTGTCAAAGGACTGACAAAATACTGTTGAAAAAGTGAGAATTGGATCAACGAAGAAAGTCACCATAAGAGTGGGGACATGTTCTTTAGTCAACATTCCTGCAAGATTACCGTGGCACCATGATTGGCCAGGCAATTTATGAAACAGCAAATCATGCTTTGGCCAAGTTCAGGAGAGGGTCCAACAACTGCGAGTATTTAAAGATTATAATGATCTTCCTGAATCATTCTTGCACAATGCAGTGCAGCATAATCCAATACCTTGGGTTATATAGGACAGGCTGCTTGTTACATCAGCCATACTGGACTCAAGGATGCCATTTTACATCTGAAAAACAGACACTGCCCCATTGAGGCTCCAGGCCCATTCTCTTTTCTGGACAAGTGTATCCCATGTACATTCCTATCGTAAACTGTGGACATTTCACAGCTAAGAGTTTTTAATGTGGTTTATGTGTTAGCAGCAACACAATATTTTCTGGCATTTCCTACAAAATTAGATTTACATTTCTAACTTCACTATACATAATGAACAGATAATATCTTGCCATATTTCAATTTGCATACAGACATCTGCACTAATCTTGCCCTCACACACTTCCGTGTGTACACACACACACACACACACACGTGTTTTGGAAACAGGCGATCAAAGCTGGAAGTGACTACTTAACATTTTGGGTCATTATTTTACAATTTACATGAACATAAATCTTTATTATTGTTTATTGTTTTATTGTACATAATTGATGCTATCACATGGAATTATCACTTAATTTTGCATTTTACTCCTATTTACTTGGTTTCAGAAAAAGACTGGACTCATTTAAGACTTTCAATTTTTTTCTTCAGTTCTTCTTTGTTGTTGTCTGCTTTTATCTGTAAAGACATTATAAATGAAATGGGTTAAGACAGAACTGTATGTTTTGTGGATAAAGTATTATACATACCATATATACACATGCAAAAGTCAAATTTTTTAGACTATCTTTTAAGGTTAAATTTATAGGGTCAACTATTACATTGATACTACTTTTGAGAGACTGAAACTCATGTCCATCAAAATTCGTACATATTATTAGCAGAAGCCCAATTGATCTCTAAACGAGTAAAGAAAAAAAAACACAACAAATTACAGTAATTCTGGAGGCCCAGAGTGGAGTGGGACAGCCTGCAGAATGGAGGCCATCAACAAATATTGATCTGTTATCTATGAAGAACGAGGGATATATGGAAAATGCCAGATTTTTTGGCCAGAAATGAGGATTCGACTTTTATGTGAGATCGACCTTTACTTGAGTATATATGGTAGATCCGTATGAACTGCCTTCCACCTTTGTTCACCTTGCCCTAACACCACATCCTTCCTTTCTGACACATGTATTTACCTAGCTTTTCCTTCAGTGCATCTATATTTGTCACCTCCTCATTGGATAGATGATTGATCATCTTATCATGAGTCGTAATACTAGCCTCATCCACAACTGGAAACATCTTCACTACATCATCCTATCAAACTCTTTCTTAATCACTTCTTATCAGAACTCCCCTTGTCTTCTCAATTCCAGAAAAAAAATAATCTAGTCAATCCCACTCCCCTGTTCTATCCCTGCAAGTTTATTTTCTTCAATGACCCATCCAATTTTCATTTGAAATCTTTTCCACCATCCTTGTGGCAGCAGGTTCAGTTCAATGCCATTAGCTGCATTAAACTATCTTCCTCACATTCCCCTTCCATGTCTTTCCCAGAAGTGTGCATCTGCATGCCCTGTTGTTCTTGTAGCATCAGTGAGTGGAAGCTAATGGATGGCTCTCTTATCCAGACCTGTAAGAATTGTCCACAACTTTTAATAAATCTGACTTCAATCACTTTTGCTTCAAGGAGAATAATTCCAGCTTCTCCAACCTAACCTGGAAGAATTCTGGCAAATCTCTTCTCTCATAAGGGCTTTCACAATTTTCCTAAAATGTGGTGACCAGAAACTAGGCACAATACTCTAGTTGGGGCCTAACAGAACATTATGAAATTTCAGCAATACTCCTTTGTTTTGTACCTGATGCCTTGATTAATGAAGCCCAAGGTCACACATGCTTTGCACTATAAATATATGTCTTGCCACCATCAAAAATTGATGTCCATGTCAGGGAAAGTTAATGTCTTAGTCATAATGTCACCAGACAAGTAATCCAGATGCCTAAGCTAATTCTGCAGGAACATGGGTTCAAATCTAATACAACAACTGGTGGAATTTAAATGCAAATTAAATTTTAAAAATTTGGATTGAAAGCTACTTGGAGATAACAAGAGTTGCACATGGTGGAGTCAGAGGCAACACAGTGTGGAGCTGGAGGAACACACCAGGCCAGGCAGCATCAGAGGAGTAAGAAAGTCGATGTTTTGGGTCAGGACTCTTCTTCAGAACTGGGGAGGGGGAAGGGAGCTGGGAAATAAATAGAGGGAGGAGTGGTGGGGCTGGGGAAAAGTAGGTGAGACGATGATAGGTGGATGCAGGTAGGGAGTTGTGGGGATTGGTCAGTGGAATGGGTGGGGTGGATTGGTGGGAGAGAAGATGGACAGGTTGTGTTGGGTCAAGGAGACGGGTATAAGAGAGAGGGTTTGACATGGGATGAGGCTGGAGGTGGGGAAATTTTAAAACTGGTGAATTGTATGTTTAGGCCATCAGGCTGTAGGTCCCAAGGCAGAATATGAGGTATTGCTCCTCCAGTTTGCGTGTGGCATCATTGTGGCACTGGAGGAGGCTCAGGATGGACATGTCACCCAGGGAGTGGGACGGGGAGTTAAAATGGTTGGCAACCAGAAGGTGTTTTCGAGTATCGCATACAGAGCACAGATGCTTCACGAAACAGTCCCCAAGTCTGCACTTGGTCTCACCTATGTAAAGGAGACCATTTCGGGAGCAACAGTTACAGTATACAAGGTTGGAGGATGTAAAGGTGACCCCTGTTGGATATGGTAAGTTTCCTTTGGGCCTCAGATGGAGGTGTGGGGGCAGGTGTTGCACTTCTAGCGGTTGCAGGTGAAGGTGCCGGGTGCGGTGGGGTGAGTGGGAAGTGTGGAGCAGACGAGGGAGTCGCGGAGAGAGTGTTCTGTACAAAAGGCAGATAGGGGTGGGGAGGGAAGTATCTCTTTGGTCATGGGGTCAGATTGTAGGTGGCGAATGCTGGCAAATGCGACTAGACTAATTTACAGACAGCAAGAATTGCAAATGCTAGAATTGGAGACAATACAGTGTAGAGCTGGAGGAGCACAGCAGGTCAGGCAGCATCAGAGGAGTAGGAAAGTCGACGTTTCGGGTCAGGATCCTTCTTCAGAACTGAAGGGTTCTGACCCTAAACATCGACTTTCCTATTCCTCTGATGCTGCCTGACCTGCTATGTTCCTCCAGCTCCACACTGTGTTGTCTAGATTAATTTGGGCTATTGGTCAGCATGGATGAGTTGGACCAAATGGTCTGTTTCCATGATGTACATTTCTATGACTCTATGTTGTCTTGCCACTTTGGTTAGCAGAGTCAACATACAAACCAGCTGTGGCACAGTTGGTAGCATCTTGCCACTGGCATCAAAAGTTGAGGGTCCAGTCCCTAGATCAGAAATTTGAGAATAAAACCAATGCTTCAGCCACTTCAGTGCTGAAGTATACTACTGTCTTTTAAATTGAAGTCCTCTCTGCCTACTGTGACTCTAGAAGATCAGCAATGGTCTCTGAAATGGCCTAGCAAGCCATTCACATCATGAACAATAAGAGATGGGCAATAAATACTGGTCATACCTGTAATGCCCATGTTCCAAGAAATGGTTTTGCTCTCCTTACAATTAGGGAACAGCAAGGTTGTGATAAGCTTCCACATTTCTCAAGTGGTATCCCTACCCCGACTTCCCCAGAAAAATAAATGCCTCCACTTTAAGCAATGTCTAGTCTAATAGCACCGATCTATTCAATAGTAACATTCTAAAAATTCCATGCATGTTTAAAATCATTTCACACTCAATGTTGTGTAAATTCAGGGCTTCCTGCAATGAATCACTGTGGAAAGGTCCATGGATTGAAATATGGAGTAATAAAAGTATGCTCCCTTCAAGAATGGCAGTGCAATTTTGGACAGAATCCTGCATTTCCATGTGAAAGGAGAACTGTCAATTGAGATTGAGAGGAAGTGTCATTAATGTACTAAACTAAACATTATTTACTATACCATATTCCCATCCTTGAAGAGCAGAATGTATGGTATACTGTGGATGGCAAATTCTTCAACCAAATCCTGAAATGGAAGAAAAGAAAGCAGCAACAGAAGAAATTTAGAAAGCAATAACATAGCAATAGTACTTTGCAAGTTCAAGATCTATCTCAGTGCTGTTGTTCTACCTATTATTTTAATATTTGTTAAGGAATCGAGTGCAACTCTGACAAGTTAGATGTGAGAAAGGTCCCATGTCCTAGTATTTTGGCCCACATTTATCCCTCAACAGTTTCTTTGATACATTATCTGATTGTTCACCTTATTGCTGTTTGTGGAATCTTGCTGTGCAAACATTGCCAACCACATTTAAGCATAATAATAAGTATACCTCAAAAGGTACACTACAAATAACTGCAATAAAAGCAAAATAATGAAGATGGTGGAAACCTACATTAAAGACAGAAAATGCCGCAGAAACATAGCAAGTCTGGCAGTCTCTGTGGAACGAGAAACAGACTTAACATTTCAAGTCCATTATGTATCTTATTCAGAAGAAAAAAAAGTATCATATTGTACTTGAAACATTAACTCTGTTTCTGGCTCCACAGATGCTGCCAGACCTGCTGAGATTTTCCAGCATACTCTGTTTTTACTGCAGGTAGCTTAACTGCTAGAGCATGGATACATTTATACAAAACTAATTTTTTTTAATGTCAACATTTCATGTGGAGAGTTTTATTTTTACTTTCTTTCAGATTTCAATTGTCTGGTGAATGAAAATTGAGTCTCAACATTTAAAAAGTTGCAACTTAAGCCCCAGTTAACACTGATTTTAACATGTTTATTTGTGATAAACCTATTTTAAGCCCTTCAAAACTTCTAAGTTACAACTTATTTTGTTAAAAATATGACATCCAATATGCACAATAGTATGTCAGATTTTGCAATTGAAGTTGAATGGAAACTAAACTCTCCATTTTTCAGTCTTCATTTGGGGTGAACCTTTCTATTTCTGAACTACTTCAGCACCACGAGATAGCCAGGACCAAATATTTGAAAGTTCAAGAGATTACTTAAGAATTACATATGGTCATGGCAACTTAAGGATGTAGAAACTCCTTTAGAGATGGTTTGCATTGTGATATACACAGTACAGTGGAGGGAAGGAACATTAATTGTTCCTCAGATCTCAAACAGGAGAGAGATTTTGACACTTGAGTTTCCACTAGAACAAAAAGAAAACATTAAAAATTTCCCAGAGGTGTGTACCTGCTACCCTGTCAGCTACCATTTCCTGTAGCTTCTGGAGCATTCTTGTGTAGCTGGTGCATTCGAGAGTCCAGGTGCCATACAGGCTGATTTACAGGGGACACTGGCTTATTACACCAATGCACGTCCCCTCACTAATGCCTCAAATAGGGCTACAGTGGAGCAGAAGACGAAGAAGAAAATACAGTTCCACTGCTTGGGCTGGTCTGATGGATAGCCTCCAGTATTGACTGGACAGAGCATCCTGCATCATCTTGGTGGGCTGTTCTCTGCACAATTAGAGTGGGTATGAGGCGACGTGCTGGATGTGGTGGAACTGGGAGAACAGGAGCTTCTTCTAAGGTGAAGGACATTGAGGAGGCGGAAGCTTTCCTTGTGCATTAGAGAGCTCAACTACATTGAGCGCAATAAGCCAGATGGGACCTGATTGACACCTGATTCCAATAGATGGGAACCGGTGCAGCAGATCATCAGCGATTGTGAAATAGTCATTGGTCATGATGCCAGTACTTGATTTGCCTTGTGGTGGCGAACTGCAGCCTTCATTGGTTTTATCTGTGTTCATCTTAGATGGCTATAAAAGAAACTGGTGTTCATATTTATCCGATTACCTGCCTTGTTCCTCTATTGGAAAATGACAAGCTGCAGGGCTACAGTCGGCATTGGGGACAGAGTAGTAGTGGTGACTTAAGGTGGATATTTAAGCAGTATGTCTGTATGGACATGTAAACTGCGTAGCCTGGTAGTTAAATAGGGTGGAGAACAGAGTTGTAAATGAAAGGGTGTATCAGCCATATGCTGTGAGCAGCATGGCTTTGTAGCTTTTGTTCCACCATGCTGCAAGTGAGGGCCAATAATAGATTGTTAACATTTGCCCTAGCCCACAGCTGCCTAATAAAGATGGCACAGGCAGAGGGGATTTCTGTCTTTTGGTGGAAAAATAGCTGAGTGGTGAAGCACATTTGTAGTCACTAAGCTGATTCAGAGTATATTAAGCTCTTATTCTTATCTAATTTCATCCTGAAATGCTAATCATCTCAATGAATCCCTATTGCAGAGAATTCTGAATTTTCACACTCTTTCTCCAAGAATTCCTTCTTGGATTAGTGGCACTCTTATATTCAATTGCTCCTAGTGTTGCACTTCCCAAAAGTGGAAGCATATTCTATACGTCTACCTTTTTTGAAAACACTTATGTATTTGAAAAAAGTTGATCAGGTCATCCCTCTGAAATAACTCTTCAGCGTCCGGCAACCCATCACCAATCGCCCTTTATTCACAAATGCTTTGCCTTTGACAATAGCGCTGCATCTCACTGAGTTAGGCATTTCAGGGCTCAATATCCCTGACATTCATCCTTTGATGTCAGCCAGGTCTCCCTGATTGGGGTTGTTAATCAGGTCCAATCAGGGAACTTCTATTCCAGTGAAGTCTAGCTGGCTGACCTTGTCACAATTACTACATCTTCAGCCTTCTCTTTTCTAACCAAAGAGTTGCTGCAGTCATCATCACCTGATAGTTTCACTTTCCATTTTTAGTATCATCGCTTCACATCAGTGCCTGCACTCTTTTTATAAAATGGAAAACCAGAATTGTGCACTGCTCCAAATGGATTTAAGTTTCAACACAAATTCAAAAAAGCATCTTTACACTTCAAACTGATGCTATTGTGTAATGAACCCTCAACACTTAATGGTCTTGTCAAACTGCATCTGTATTTTTAGATGGGTTATCTAGACAAAGTTCAATTCATGTAGCAATTATCCAACTTACTTCAGCATCATCTGTGTTTACTTTGCAGAAGATCACATCAGGATATTGGTCTGGAAGTTCCTAGGGGAAAAGAAGAGAATGGTAAAATTAACCTTATTTTCTCTTCGCATTGGAGCCACTTAATTTTTCAAACTCTGATTGGACATACTTCTGGAAGTTTCATAATACAATCTCCTTCCAGTCATCCTAGTTATCTCACATTGTTGTTACTGGCTAGACTATCCATTTTCATCATGCTTTGTCTTTGTAAACCATTCCAAAGTGAAGATTGCATGACACTATCCATCAAGCAGTATTCAATAACCTTATGACTACTTTTTAAAAATATGTGTATATAAAGTGAATGAAAAGCATTCAAGCAAAATCTTTTTTAAATAGATTTACTCCAAAATTATTCCCCTTGAATTTTTTTTCCTGGGACATCTGCACTGTTTTGAAGATTGGTATTCATTTCCTGGAGGAATCAGGCTAATCCTATGGCCACATCTTGGGCAAATCCCGGAACCATTATTAATTCAGTGTTAATAGTGACAAAATCCAAGGAGAAGAGTTCAAGGTAATATGCCTAATTCTTAGTTCAATACTCCAAGGTGGCCTGAGAATAGAATTTCACTAAGAATCACCTGGTGATATTACCATGTTACACGTCTAGGATTATTCTCTTTTTCGTTTTTAATTTTTTTTCCACCAGCAGGAAAACACCCATGCGGCGAATTGTATATTAACAAGCAAAGCCTATTAAGGGCAATGCTAAATTCTGGGTTTGCTATTTTTAAGAAATACTCTACAATTGTGCCACAAGAGGGCCCAGTTTTTTTCTATATTTTTCCCCAAATCACCCATGGTTATATTTGTAAAAATTTTTATTTATACAGTGAGACATAAAAATGAAGACAATGGTGTGAATAGATTTCATTATATATATTTCTTTCCAACACCAGGAAACCACCTGTGTGGCTAATTTTGTGTTTACAAGCAAAGCCTGTTAAAGGCAATACTGACAGGACTGTTGTCCTAACAGCAGAGATGATTGAAGGGAAATGATTAAGTTATGCAAATTTATGAAGACAGCAAAAGTCTTGAAGCAAAATTGTAGGGGATATTGAAATCAGGTTTTGCAGAAACAGGTAGTTCTGCTATAACGCGTGTTTTGTTAACGGGAATTGGCTGTGACACAATTGATGAATAGTGGACGCTGTTTGGATAATGCAAACTTTCTGCTATACAGGTATAGCAATTTTCTATAGCAATTTCCCTATAATGTGATTTTCAATGACAAATTTCTATAGCGCGAGGTCACACAAGAATGCAACTATCGTGTTATAGGAGAACCACCTGTACTGCTCTTATTTTTGCATGTAACATTATTCTAGACAGCATTTGCTCAAAATATTGCATTTCTACAATTTTAATGCTGATAAAATATGATGAATCTGTACAGTAGATAATGGGAGATAGTAAGAACTGCCGATGCTGGAGTCAGAGATAACACAGTGTGGGGCTGGAGGAACACAGCAGGCCAGGCAGCATCAGAGGAGCAGGAAAGTTGACATTTCAGGTCGGGACACTTCTTCAGAAATGGGGGAGGGGGAAGGGAGCTCAGAAATAAATAGAGAGAAGGGGGCGGGACTGGGAAAGGTAGGTGGGATGGTGATAGGTGAGTGCAGGTAGGCGGTAGTGGGGATTGGTCAGTGAGGTGGGAGAGAAGATGGACAGAAACAAAGTTGCTGGAAAAGCTCAGCATGTCTGGTAGCATCTGTGAAGGAGAAAACAGAGTTAATGTTTCCTCTACATCGGGGAAACCAAGCGGAGGCTTAGGGACCACTTTGCGAAACACCTACGCTCAGTTCGCAACAAACAACTACACCTCCCAGTCGCGAACCATTTCAACTCCCCCTCCCACTCCTTGGACGACATGTCCATCCAGGGCCTCCTGCATTGCCACAATGACGCCACCCAAAAGCTGCAGGAACAGCATGTCATATTTCACTTGGGAACCCTGCAGCCCAAGGGTATCAATGTGGACTTCACAAGCTTCAAAATCTCCCCTCCCCCGACCACATCCCAAAACCAGCCCAGCTAGTCCCCGCCTCCCTAACCATTCCTCCCACCTCAAGCCCCACCCCCATCTCCTACCCACTAACCTCATCCCGCCTCCTTGACCTGTCCGTCCTCCCTGGACCAACCTATCCCCTTCCTAACTCCCCACCTACATTCACCTTTACTGGCTCCAACCCCGCCTCTTTGACCTGTCTGTCTCCTCTCCACCTATCTTCTCCTTTATCCATCTGCTATCCGCCTCCCCCCTCTCCCTATTTATTTCAGAATCCCCTTCCCTTCCCCCATTTCTGAAGAAGGGTCTCGACCCGAAACGTCAGCTTTCCTGCTCCTCTGATGCTGCTTGGCCTGCTGTGTTCATCCAGCTCTACACTGTGTTATCTCAGATGGAGAAGATGGACAGGTTGTGTCAGGACAAGGAGGCGGGGATGAGAGAGAGGGTTGGTCTTGGGATGAGGCCGAGGGTAGGGAGATTTTGAAATTGGTAAAGTCCATATTGAGACCATTGGGATATAGGCTCCCAAGGCGGAATATGAGGTGCTCCTCCTCCAGTTTCCAGGTGGCTTCATTGTGACGCTGGAGGAGGCTCAGGATGGAAATATTGCCCAGGGAGTGGGAAGGGGAAGTGAAATGGTTTGCGACTGGAAGGTGTTGTAGTTTATTGTGAACAGAGCGCAGGTGTTCTACAAAGTGGTGTCTGAGCCTCCGCTTGGTCTCACCAATGTAGAGGAGGCCACATTGGGAGCAGCTGATGTGCAGGTGAAACTCTGTCTGATGTGAAAGGCTTTTTTTGGTTCCTTGGATGGAGGTGAGGGGGGAGGTGTAGGGGAAGGTGTAGCACTTACTGCGTTTGCAGGGAAAGGTACCGGGGGTGGTAGGGCTAGTGGGGAGTGTGGAGCGGACGATGGAGTCGCGGAGAGACTGGTCCCTACGGAAGGCAGTTAGGGGATGGGGAGGGAAATATATCCTTGGTTGTGGTGTTGGATTGCAGGTGGCAGAAGTGGTGGAGAATGATACATTGATTTCGGAGGTTAGTGGGGTGATATGTGAAGACAAGGGGAATTCAGTCTTTGTTTTTGTTGCGGGGAGGGGATGTGAGGGCAGACATGTGGGAAACACAAGAGATGCGGTTGAGAGCATTTTCGACCACTGAAGGGGGAAGTTGCGGTCTTTGAAATAAGAGGTCATTTGGGATGATAATGGGAGTTTGTCAAACAATTATTCCAGATATAAAGAATAGGTTTTTTTGATTCCATGGGATATATAGCACTGTAGCAGGTCCATTTGTTGTTCATGCTCTCGGTAAGGTCCCTTGTACTGGTGGTGTAATCCTCTATTCTCTTCTTCCTTGACAACTTGTTTAGCTACCCCTTAAACGAATCTATGAAAATGGACTTCACCCATTCCTCATTGTAGCAGAAGGGAAATAAGAAACTCGTGATTCCTACTTTCTTTTCCAGCAACTATTGTTTTTGTTAGTGATTCCCATTGTTTAGTTTGTTCTTAAATGGCAAGGTTTATTGGATTTCCAAAAGTTTAGATTAGTTCAGTAATTGGTAGTGAGAAGAGGCAACAACTTAAAAAGAAAATAATTACTCATGTATGACATAAAAACAGATGGTAGGATGCAGGAGTGATCCAAGGCCAACATAACTGCAGTAAATGCAACAAGAAAGCTACACTCAGAGTCACTGAGCTGGAGACCATGCTGCAGACATTGAAACATCAGGGATGGGGTATTGTAGGAGGTGACCATACAGCTAAGTTTAACATCTTTTCATTTGCTCAGCGGTCAGGGATGGAAATGTGTGACTGCAGTGAGGCAGCAGGTATGGGGACGCAGCAGGGAGAAGGGGAGGAGTTCCAGCATTTTCAATTGTCCATTTAATTTGAGATTCTTGCAAGCTGTGTGGATAGAAGTGGTGGCTAACGCGTGGGTGAACAAATACCAGGGAACCATTCAAGTTGGAGGGGGGATGGTGTAAAAAGCTAATGGCAAGGTAGTGGTAGCAGGGGTAAAACTGACACCATTCTCTGCAGCTGAGATGGTTGTGCTGCCTGCTCAGTCCTAGGATTCGGGACATCTTCTCCATGCTGCAGTAGAAGGATCCAGTGGTTGTGATTAAAATAGGTACAGCAATATAGATAGAACTATAAAGGAGGTTCTGCTGAATAGTAAGGGCTAAGTTGAAAAGCAGAACTTCAGAAAAGTCATAATCTTGTGACTACTGCCTAGATAACAAAGAAATTGATGTATAATAAATAAGATTGGAATGTTAAATCCCTGGATTAAGGATTGTTGTGGGAAAAATTGGTTGCATAGAAACATTGAAAATAGGAACTGGAGTAGGCCATTCAGCCCATCAAGCTCTCTCTGCTATTCAATATGATCGTCTCTGATCATCCAATTCACTACCCTTTTCCCACTTTCTCCCCATACCCTTGTTTCCATTTAGCCATAAGAACAATATTTAACTCCTCCTTGAAGGCATTCAATTTTTTGGTCTCACTGCTTTCTGTGGCAGAGAATTCCACAGGCTCCCCACTCTCTGCGTGAAGAAATTTCTCTTCATATCAATCCTAAATTGCTTATCCCTTATCTTTAGACTGCAATCTCTGGCCTCAATTCATAAAGAACTGAAGCTAGACCATTGGGATGGTTTTCACTTGTACCATGATGTCCCTGTGTACTGCCAAATTGTATAATTAGGGTGGTAGAGAGGACTTTAAAATAATTGGTGGGTTTAAGAAATACATTTTGAGAAGATGTGGAAAATTTAACAAAGAACAAAACGCAACAAAGATGGTGCTAAGGGAAATTATTATTATCGCATGGCAGGATGAGTCAAAGCACGCAAATTGAGGACAGTCCAAAGTGATAATGGCTGGAGGTTACGAAAATAGTAAAGATAGAAATAAAGCATTTGTAATTGAATGCATAGCACTCACAATAAAGCAAATGAACACAATATAACGTCAGATTCTTACATTGTACCATTTTGCAAGGTTGGTGCAAGGCATACACCAATCTGCATAGAAGTCAATCACAACTAATTTGCTTCCAGCCTCCTTCAATTTGTCATCAAATTCAGCCTGGAAAATAAAAGATATTTATAGAAAATTATGTCATTAATTTGCTTTAAAAGAATACAATTTTTCTTCCTAAGCAGAGAACTGGGTCAGGAGTCACTGCATGGAGCTAATGTATGGGGGAGAAGAATGAGTAAGCCTCCTCTGTATATATATTGAACTCTTCTTATCTCACCTTACCAGACTTGGAAATCCGGCCTCTATGGGTTAAAAATAAAATGAATTTTTAACTTTGGACACACACAGTATTCTTAAAAAACATTTGTATAAAAAAATGTTAGATGGATCTCTAATAGAACAAAGAAGAACAAAGAAAATTACAGCACAGGAACAGGCCCTTCAGCCCTCCAAGCCTGCGCCGATCCAGATCCTCTATCTAAACCTGTCGCCTATTTTCCAAGGATCTGTAACCCTCTGCTCCATGCCCGTTCATGTATCTGTCTAGATACATCTTAAATGATGCTATCGTGCCCGCCTCTCCCACCTCCGCTAAAGAACAATGTGGTGTTTAAAATGGCTGCGGCTTTAAACCTTTAACTAATCTCCCATAACTGTTCACTATAGACTTTGAAGATTTTTTGTTAAAAGTCTTGTAAGTCACATGCTGACGTAATGCTAATGAATATCAAATGGAAATGGTTAGATTCTTTTCTGTTTGAGATCATCATTGTTACATGCCTTGGGATTGCAAGCAACATTCATACCACACATCAACCCGAGCTTGGATTCTGTCCAAGCCTTGCGGGATATGGACTCCATCAGTACCTGAGGATCCGCAAATGGTGCTGATAATTGTACAGTCATCAGAAAGCATCCCCACTTCTGACCTTATGAAAAAAGGAGCATCATCGATGAAGTAGCTGAAGATGGTTGGGCCTAGGACACTGCCTTGAGGAAGTGGGCTCTTGAGATGCATTGGTCGTCTCTACTCCTGGATCAGGAAGCTTGGATATAACATCCTCGAACAGGTTGATTAGAAGATAACTATCCTGAGGACTTCCTGGGATAGAAATGATGGACCTCCTACAACCACAACCATCTTCTTTGTACTCGGTATGACACCAATTTCCATTCCTATTCAGTCTAGTCTTGCTGGGGCTCCTTGATGCCACATGTGGTTGGATACTGCCTTGTTATTAAGGGCAGTCACTCTCATCTTGCCTGTAATCTCCACTCTATTGTCTACGTTTGGACAAAGGCTGTGATGTGCTCAGGAGCTGAGTGGCCTGCGTGGAACCGAAACTGAGCAACAGTGAGCAGATTATTGTTAAGAAAACGGGGAGGCAATGTGGTATTATTGCTAGACTATTAATCAAGGGACTCAGCTAATGTTCTGGGGACCAGAGTTTGACAGCCGCCATGGCAAATAGTGGAATTTGAATTCAATAAAAAATAATCTGGAATTAAGAATCTTCTGATTGTTGGAAAAACCCATCTGGCTCACTATGTTCTTCATAGTAGGAAATCTGTCAGCCTCACCCCTGGTCTGGCCTACATGTGACTCCAGATGTACAGCAAATGTGGTTGACTCTTAACTGCCTTCTGAAAATGCCTAGCAAGCAGTATTAACTGCTGTGAAACCCCAACATAGAAATGAAACCAGACGGATCACCTGACATTGACCTAGACACGAGAAAAGACAATGACAGACATAGCCCTGTCAACATGGCAAAGTCCTCCTTATGAACATTTGGGGGCAATGCCAAAATTGTGAAAGCTGTCTCACAGACTAGTCAAGCAACAGCTTTACACAGTCATACTCATGGAAACAAAGCTGACAGACAAAGGCCCAGACACCACCATTACCATCCCTAGATATGTCCTGCCCCACCAGCAGGACAGACCCAGCAGAGGTTGTGGCACAGAGGTATACAGTCAGGAAGGCATTGCTCTGGGAGTCCTCAACATTGACTCTGGATTGCATGAAGTCTCATGGCGTCATGCTATGCATAGGCAAGGAAACCTCTTGCCAATTACTGCATATCATGTTGAATAACACATGGAGGAAGCACTGAGGGCGGCCAGGTGCAAAATGTACACTGGGTTTCAATGTCCACCACCAAGAGTGGCTCGGCAGCAGCACTACTGCAAGCTGGTTGGGTCCTAAATGACATGGCTGCTAGATTGGGTCTGCGGCAGATGGTGTGGGAACAAACAGGAGGGAGAAAGAAGGGTCTAGGCCTGAAACATCAGCCTTCCTGCTCCTCTGATGCTGCTTGGCTGGCTGTGTTCATCCAGCTCTACACCTTGTTATCTCAGATTCTCCAGCATCTGCAGTTCCTACTATCTCTGACCTCATCCTTACCAGTTTGCTGGCTGCAAATGCAGCTGTCCATGGTATTATCAGTAAGGGTGACCACTGCACAATCTTCACATGGAGAATAACTTCCATTGTGTTGTGTGACACTACCACAGTACTAAATGGGGCAGACTTTAAACAGATCTAGCAACTCAAGATTGACCACCTATGTAGGCCGTTAACAGCAACACAATTATACTGCAACTCAATCCGCAACCACGTAGCCTGGCATATACCCCACTCAACCATTACCATAAAACCAGGGGATCACAGGTGATCAATGCTGGTTCAAATGGAGAGTGCAGGAGAGCATGCCAGGAGCAGCACTGGGCATACCTGAAAATAGGGTACCAACTTGGTGAGGCTACCAAACAAGACTACTTGTGCCAAACAGCATAAGCAGCAAGTGACAGACAGAACTAAGCGATCCCACAACCATTGGATCAGATCTAAGCTCTGCAGTCCTGCCACATCTAGTTGTGAATGGTGGCAGTCAATTAAACAACTCACTGGAGGAGGATGCTGCACAAATATCCCCATCCTAAATGATGGAAATGCCCAACATATCAGTGCAAAAGAAAAGGCTGAGGCTTTTGCAGCAATCTTCAGTCACAAGTGCCAAGTGAATGATCCAACTTGGCCTCCTCTAGTGCTCCCCAGTATTACAGACACCAATATTCAGCTAACTTGATTCACTCCACATGGTATCAAGAAACAGTTGGAGTCACTGGATACTGCAAAGGCTATGGGCCTGACAATATTCTGGCAATAGTACTGAAGACATGTGCTCCACAAGTCAGAGATAACACAGTGTGGAGCTGGAGGAACACAGCAGGCCAGGCAGCATCAGAGGAGCAGGAAAATTGACATTTTGGGTTGGGACCCTTCTTCAACACTCCCTCCCACTCCTTGGGTAACGTGTCAACCTGGGCCTCCTCCAGTGTCACAATGACACCACCCGCAAACTGGAGGAGCAGCACCTCATGTTCCACCTTGGGAGCCTAGAGCCCAATGGCCTAGATGTGGATTTTCCCAGTTTTAAAATCTCCCCAACCCTGGCCTCATCCCATGACCAAACCTCCCTCTCATCCCCATCTCCTTGACCTGACACAACCTGTCCATCTTCTTTCCCACCTATCCACTCCTCCCACCTCACCTATCACCATCCCACCTACCTTCTCCAGCCCCACCCCTCCTCTCTCTATTTATTTCTGAGCTCCCTTGCCCCTCCCCCATTTCTGAAGAAGGATTGCTATCTCTGCTCCAGAAGTTGTTGCTCCCCTAGCCAAGCTGTTTCAATGCAGTTACAACACTGGCATCTACCTGACATGTGGAACATTGCCTGGATATGCCCTACACACAAAAAGCAGGAGAAATCCAAACTGGCCAATTCCCGCCCCATCAGTCTACATTCAATCTTGATGGAAGATGTCATCAATAGTACTATCAAGCAGCACCTGCTCAGCAATAACCTGCTCTGTGACCCCCAGTTTGGGTTCCACTGGGGCCACTCAACCCCTGACCTCATTATAGCTTTGGTACAAATATGGAGAAAAGAGCTGAATTCCAGGGGTGAGGTGAGAGTGACAGCCTTTGATATCAAGGCTGCATTCAACTGAGTGTGACATTAAGGATCCCCAGCAAAATTGAAATCAATGGGAACTAGGGGCAAATTCTGCTGGTTGAAGTCATGCCTGGCACATACTCAGCTCCAAGACATCTCTGCAGGAGACACTCTGCATAGTGTCCTGGGCTCAACCATCTTCAGCTGCTTCATCAATGACCATCCCTCTATCATAAGATCAGAAGTTGAGATGTTTGCCGATGATTACACAATGTTCAGCAACATCTGCAACTCCTCAGATACTGAAGCAGTCCATATTAAATGCAACAACATCTGAACAATATCCAGGCTTAGGCTAACAAATGGCAAGTTACATTCTCACCACACAAATGTGAGGCAATAACCATCTCCAACAAGAGACAATTTGATCACCACTCCTTGACATTCACTGAATCTCCCACTATCAATATCCTAGGGATTACCATTGACGAGAAACTCACCATATAAATACACTAGCTACAAAAGCAGGTCAGAGTCAAGGCATAGTGCAGCAAGTAATTTGCCTCCTGACTTTCCAAAGCCTGTTCACCGTGTACAAGGCACAAGTCAAGAGTGTGATGGAATACTTCCCATTTGCCTGGATGAATGCAGCTCCAACAACACTCAAGAAACTTGACACCATCCAGAACAAACCAGCCCCCTTGATTGGCACCACATCCACTAGCATCCATTCCCTCTACTAACAATGCTCAGTAGCGGCAGTATGTACTACCTTCAAGATGCACTGCAGAAATTCACCGATAGATAGATAGATCCTTCCAAACCCACAACCACTTCCATCTAGAAGGATAAGGGCAGCAGATACATGGAAACTCCACCACCTGCAAGCTTTTCTTCAAGCCATTCTCCACCCTGACTTGGAATACATCACCGTTCCTTTACTGTTTTTGGGTCAAAATCCTGAAATTCTCTCCTTAAGGGCATTGTGGGTCAACCTATAGTACATGGACTGCAGCAGTTTAAGAAAGCAGCACACCAACCACCTTGTCATGGACAACTAGAGATGGGCAACAAGTACTGGCCAATCAGTGACACCCCAAGTGAATTTAAAACAACTGCTGTTTGATGGAACTGTCTGACACTTTCTATTACTTTATTGAGTATTGACTGATGGGGTGGTGAATGGCTGGGTTAGATTTGTCTTGTTTTTTATGGACAGGACATATCAGGACTATTTTCCATATTGTCAAGTGGATGCCAGTGTTATAGCTGTACTGCAAGAGCTTGATATGGTCCCAACTAATCCTGGAGCTCATGTCTTCAGTATTCTTGCTGAAATGTTGTCAGGCCCTCTGGCCTTTCTGGTATCCAGTGCCTTCAGCTATTAGTTGATATTTATGTTGAGAGTTAAATTATCAGAAGATGGTATTTGTGATACTGGGGGCAACAGATGGAGGGATCATTCACTCAGCACCTTTGGTTGAAAATGGTTGCAAATGCATCAGCCTGGTCTTTTACACTGATGTGGGCACCTTCCAATCATTAAAGATAGGGATATTATGGAGTCTCCTCCTTCAGTGAGTTGTGCACCACCATTTGTAGCTGGATATGACAGGACTGCAGAACTTAGATTTGATCTGTTGCCTGCAGGATTGCTTGGTTCCATTTACAGCACAGTACTTCTGTTGCTTGGTATGCAATTAGCTGCTCCTTGCGTGCTGTTAACACCTGTTCGCTGAATTGTAGTTGATCCCTTGGCTTGTTGGTAATGGTAGAGTAGATATAGGCCATGCCATGTGATTGAATTCAATTCTGCTGCTGATAACCTACAACACTCATAGATGGACAGTTTGAGTGACTAGATCTAAATGAATTCCATTTAGCACAGTAGTAGTACCTCATGTCATCATGGATGTTATCCTCTCCGTGAAGAGGAGATATTGGCTCCTTCAGGACTGTGCGGTGATCTCTCTTACCAATGCTGTTAAGAACTGGTGCAGCTGCTGCAGCTAGATCGGTGAGGGTGAAGTCAAATCTGTTTCTGCCTTTTGATTCCTTCACAACCTGCCACAGACCCAGTCTAGCAGCTATATTGTTTAGGACTTGGCCAGCTAGATAAGCAGTGGTGTTACCAAGTCACCCCTGGTGATGGGCATTGACATCTTAGATCCAGATTCTGTGCCCTTATACACCTCTGTGTTTCTTTGAAGTGGTGTTCAAAATGGAGGACAACTGATTAATCAACTGAGGGGAGTGGTGGGGGTGGGGTGGGGAGAGAATGTTAGTGTGTGGTAAGGAACAAACAGTAGGTTTTTTTGCCATGTTGAGATTTCATGGAGTTCAGAGTCAAAGTTGAGGACTCCCAGGGCATATCTTTATTGATTGTATACCACTGTGCTGCCACCTCTGGTGTGTCTGTCCTGCCAGTGGGAAGAAATATACCCCGGGATCGTGATGATGGTGTCTGGGACATTGTGTGTGAAGTAAGAATCCATGAATATAACCAAATCAGGCTTTTGCTTGATTAGTCTGTGTAAATGAATATGATCTCATAGCCATTACAGAAATATGGTTACAAGATCAAAACTGGGAACTTAACGTTCAAAGATATTTGACCTTTCAGAGAGAGAGGAGGGATGGAAAAGCTGGTGGGGTAGCACTGTTAATAAGAAATTAAATGAGGACAGTTGTGAAAGATGGTCTAGGCTGGGATGATGTACAGTCCATGTGGTTGGAGGTAAAAAACCGTGATAGAAAGGAGATATTGATAGGAGTAATTTATAGATCCCCAAAACAGAAACCACTCTGTGGGAAAGGTGAGAAATCAACAATTAATAGGAGGATGTAAAAAGAATAGAGCAATAATTATGGGTTACTTTAATCTTCTTGTTGATTGTGTTAATAAAATTGGAAAGGTTTTCTACCACAATGAATTCAAAGAGTGAATTATGGGTAATTTCCTAGAACAATATCTCATGGAGTCAACCAGGGAGCAGTGTGCCTTGCATCTGGTAATGGGTAATGAGGCAGGTTTAATAATGACTTCAGAGTAAATGATCCCTCGGAAGTAGTGATCATAACATAATGGAATTTAATATTCAATTCTAGAGTGAGAAACTTGAGCTAGAAACAACTGTGTCTAACCTAACTAAAGGGAATTACAATGAACTTAGAATACAGCCGTGCAGTTTCATAGCCGATGTGGGGTGTCTGTTATCCAGCTTCCCGACAGCTACAGATGTATCCCTGATTTAGCAGAAGAAATCACTGCCTAAAACTATGGAAGAGGATGACCTTTGGTAGCCTGATCAGGTAAGTGTTTGATTTTAAGACTTATAAACTTCTAAACCTTAATCTGTTTCTTTTCATAAATCGACAATAGAGAGTAACATGAAGGTTTTTTTTTCCCCCTATGTTTATACTGTGATCTGTCTCTTGTTGGACTTTTAATATTAAGGATTGGTATTAATTTATCCCAGGGCAGTGTTTTTGAGCAGTAAGACTGTTTTGATGCTGCATTTTGAGCGAAGTGTATCATGTTTGCTTTTAAGTAATTTCTGGGCCTGTAGATTATTAAAGGGGCATGGTGGCTCAGTGGTTAGCACTGCTGCCTCACAGTGCTAGGGACCCAGGTTCAATTCCACCGTCGGGCGACTGTCACTGTGGAGTTTGCATGTTCTCCCCGTGTCTGCGTGGGTTTCCTCTGGGTGCCCCGGTTTCTTCCCACAGTCCAAGGATGGGTGGATTGGGCATGCTAAATTGCCCATAGTGTCCAGGGATGTTTAGGTTAGGTGGGTTAGAGATGGGAAATGCAGGGGTAGGATAATGGGTCTGGGTGGGATGCTCTTCGGAGGGGCAGTGTGGACTTGTTGGGCCAAATAGCCTGTTTCCACACTATAGGGTTTCTGTGATTCTGTGAAATAACTCTCCCTGTCAGGTAGGGGAGATCAGGGAGAATTTGAATATTCCTGGAGACTATGTCAGCAGGAAGTGTGTTTGGCTGTGAATCCTATTGGATCACATGGATCAGTTGGAGACAATGAGGATGGAGACACCGCAGATACAGTCAGGTAGATGGTTGACCGGTAGGAGAGGTAGCCAGGGCTAAGGGCAGTGGGGTATGCTTCCTGATCAACACTTTCTGGTGCTCAGACCTAGCGACCCTGGCAAACCACTGTTCCCTGGACCTAGAGTATCTTACAGTAAAATGTTGTCCCTACTACCTACCGCAAGAGTTCATCTCCACCATCCTGACAGCAGTCTACATACCACCCCATGCGGATGTGAAGAATAACAAAGATGAAACTTACACCGCCATAAACTCTCTGGAGACAAAATTCCCCAAGGCCCTATTCATTGTGGCCGGTGACTTCAACCAAACCATACCTCAAGCAGGTGATGCCAAAATACCACCAGCACATCTCCTGCCCCACCAGGGGACCGAGCGTCCTGGACCGCTGCTTTACAGCCATCAAAGCTGCCTACCGCTCAATCCTCCAACCACAGCGCTGTGTTCCTCCTCCCGGCTTACAAGCAGAAGCTGAAACAGGAGAATCCTTCACGAAACGAAGTACAGTTCTGGTCCGAGGCAGCGGAACACTGTCTCTGGGACTGCTTGGACTCGGTGGACTGAATCGTGTTCAAGTATTCAGCGGATAACCTCGAGTATGCACCAACGTCACCAACTTCTTTAGCAAATGTGTGGAGGCCAGTGTACCAAAGAAATCAATCCGAGTGTTCCCCAACCGTAAATCTTGGACGAACCAGGAAATCCACTCCCTACTGAAGACCAGACATGCAGCATTCAAGTCGGGTGACCCAGACCAATACAGGAAATCCAGATATGACCTCCGCAAAGCCATCAGGGAGGCCAAGAAGCAGTACCGGACCAAGTTAGAGGCCCAGACCTACCAAATAGACTTGCGCCATCTATGGCAATGCCTAAACGACATTACGGGATACAAAATGAAACAGTGCAAGATAGCAGACAATGACACATCCCTCCCTCACACGCTCAATGCTTTCTATGCTCGGTTTGAGCAGAATACCAGCGGCATGGCAACGCCTGCCCCGATAGCCCCAGACACACCTGTTCCCTCTGTCACTACTTCAGATGTCAGATCAATCTTCCTGGAAATCAACCCAAGGAAAGTGACAGGCCCAGACGGCGTCCCCGGCCAAGCACTCAGATGCTGGGTGGACCAACTGGCAGAGGTATTCACCGACACACTCTCCCTCCTACAAGCTGATGTCCCCACCTGCCTCAAGAAAACCACCATCATCCCCATATCCAAGAAAACACACGCAGTATGCCTTAATGACTACTGCCCAATAGCTCTGACTTCAATAATCATGAAGTGTTCAAGAGGCTGGTCATGGCCCACATCAACTCCAGTCTCCCAACCTGCCTTGATTCCCTACAGTTTGCCTAGTGACGTAACAGGTCTACAGAGGATGCCATATCCCTAGCTCTGCACTCATCCCTGGAACATCTGGACAACAAAGACACCTAAGTCAGACTCCTGCTCGTTGACTACAGCTCCGCCTTCAACACCATTACCCGCTCCAGACTGATCTCAAAACTGTGACACCTCAGTCTTGGCTCCGCCCTCTGCAATTGGATCCTAAGCTTTCTGACCCATAGGCCATAATCAGTGAGGATAGATAACTGCACCTCCTCCACAATAACACTCAACACTAGAACACCCCAAGGATGTGTCCTCAGCCCCCTACTGTATTCCATGCACACCTACAACTGTGTTGTCAAATTCTGAATGAATGCTATCTACAAATTCGCTGACGACACCACCATAGTGGGATGGATATCTAACAACAACGAGTCAACCTACATAACGGATATGGATGGCTTGGTGACGTGGTGCAATGTAAACATTCTGTCTCTCACCATTGGCAAAACTAAAGAACTGTCATCAACTTCAGAAAGAAATGAGGAGAACACACCCCCATCTACATCAACGGAACTGAGGCTGAGAGGGTGGAGAGCATCAAGTTCCTCGGAGTGACGATAACTGACGACCTGTCCCGGACTGCCCATGTAAATGTGACTGTCAAGAAGGCACAACAACGCTTCTTCTTCTTCAGGAGGCCCAGGAAATTTAGCATGTCTATAAGGACCCTCACCAACTTCTACAGATGCACCATTGAAAGCATGATGTCTGGGTGCATAATGGCCTGGTATGGCAACTGCTTTGTCCAGGACTGTAAGAAATTACAGAAGGTGGTGTGCACAGTCCAGACCATCATGGAAGCCAACCTTCCATCCATGGACTCCATTTACATGGCTCGCTGTTGCGGAAAGGCAGCCAACATCAAAGACCCATCACACCCTGGTAATGACCTCCTACAACCTCTTCCGTCAGGCAGAAGATACAGAAGCCTGAACACACGCACAAGTAGGTTCAGGAACAGCTTCTTTCTGGCCGTTATCAGACTGTTGAATGGGTTCTAGCCTCAAATAATGTAACCTGCAATGTAACCTGTATGCTTCTAAGTCTTTTTGATCTGTACATCCTTTGCTTGCTGTGACCTGCCTGTACCACTTGGAAACAAAGCTTTTCACTGTATTTTGGTACACATGACAAACAAAATCAATCAATCAATCAATCAAGGAGTCTCCTGTGGCTATCCCCATCTCAAATAAGAATACTGTTTTGGATACTGTAGGGTCAATGGCCTTTCGGAGAGTATAGCACCGACAGTCAGGTTTCTGGTACCGTGACTAGCTCTATTGTAATGAGGAGTATGTCAGGTTCCGAGCAATTGATTGTAATAGAGAATTCTCTAGTCTGGGGCACAGACAGACATCAGGATGGTGTGTTGTCTCCCTGGTACCAGGGTCAAGGACATCTCGGAGAGGGTGCAGAATATTTTGAAAGGGGAGAGTGACCAGCAGTAGGTCATTGTGCATGTTGGTACCAATGACATTGGTAGGGAAAGCGATGAGGTCCTGCAGAGAGAATATAGGAAACTAGGCAGGAGGTTAAAAAAAGGTCCTCGAGGGTAGTAATATCTGAACTACTACCAGTACCACGAGCTAGTGAGAGTAGGAATAGGAGGGGTAAAGAGCAGATGAATGCGTGGCTGAGGAGCTGGTGCAGAGGGCAAAGATTCACATTTTTGGACCATTGGGATCTCTTCAGGGGTAGATATGACTTGTATAAGAAGGACAGGTTCCACCTGAATTGGAACGAGATTTGCTAGTGCTACTCAGGAGGAGTAAAACTAGTAAGGGGGGAGGGTGGGAACCAAAGCGATAGCAAGAAAAGGAAAAAGGCTGAGGTTGGTACGGTAGTTAAAGGGAGCAAGTCAAATAATCAAGGCAGACAAGATCTTGGCAGAGAATGAAGTCAGACTGATAAATTAAACTCCATTTACTTAAATGCAAGAGCCCTGACAGGTAAGGCAGATGAACTTAACGCATGGTTGGGAACATGGGACTGGGATACCATAGCTTTAACGAAATGTGGCGCAGGGATGGACAGGACTGGCAGCTTAATGTTCCAGGATACAGATGTTATAGGAAGGATAGAAATGGAGGCAAGAGGGGAAGGGGAGGTGGGCATCTATGGTTAGGGAGAACATTACAGCTGCACTTAGGGAGGATATTCCTGGGAGATCATCCAGTGATGTAATATGTGTGGAACTGAGAAACAAGAAAGGGATGATCATCTTAGATGACAAGGTGTAGAGCTGGATGAACACAGCAGGCAAGCTGACGTTTCGGGCCTAGACCCTTCTTCATTTTTTTCTGAAGAAGGGTCTAGGCCCGAAACGTCAGCTTTCCTGCTCCTCTGATGCTGCTTGGCCAGCTGTGTTCATCCAGCTCTACACCTTGTTATCTCAGATTCTCCAGCATCTGCAGTTCCTACTATCTAGGGATGATCATCTTGTTGGGATTGTATTATAGGCCCCCTAATAGTCAGTGGAAAGCTGAGAAGCGAATTTGTAAGGAGATCTCAGATATGTGGGAGAATAAAATGGTTGTAACAGTAGGGGATTTAACTTTCCAAACAAAGTCTGGGACTATCAGTGATAAAGGCTTGGATGTGGAGGAATTTGTTAAGTGTGTACAAGAAAACTTTCTTATTCAATATGTGGATATACCTATGAGAGAAGGAGCAATACTTGACATTCTGTTGAGAAATAAGGCAGGGCAAGTGACTGAGGTGTCAGTGGTGGAGCTCTTTAGAGCAAGTGGTATAATGCTATTAGTTTTAAAACAGTTATGGAAAAGTTATGATCAAAAATTTAAAATTCTAAATTGGAGGAAGGCCAATTTTGACAGTTTTAGATAGCAACTTTCAAAAGTTGATTGGGGGAAGCTATTTGCAGGTAAAGGGAAGTAGAAGGCCTTTAAGAATGAAATTTTGGAAGTCCAGAGACAGTATGTTCCTCTTAATGTAAAGGGCAAGGCTGGTAGGTGTAGGGAATGCTGGATGACTGGAAAAATTAAAGCCCTGGTCAAGAGAAAGAAGGAGGCATATATCAGGCTGGGATTGAGTGAATCCCTAGAGGAGTATAAGGGCAGTAGGAATATGCTTAAAAGGGAAATCAGGAGGGCAAAAAAAGGGACATGAGATAGTTTTGACAAACAGAGTCAAGGAGAATCCAAAGAGATACTGTAAGTACACTAAGGCAAAAGAGTAACTAGGGAGAGAATAAGGTCCCATAGAGATCAACGTGGCCATCTACATGTGGGACCACAGGAGATGGATGAGATACTAAACAAATATGTTGCATCAGTATTTGCTGTGGAGAAGGACATGGAAGCTAAGGAACTTGGGGAAATAAATAATGATGTCTTGAAAAGAATTCATACTTCAGAAGAGGAGGTGCTGGAGGTCTTAAAATGCGTAAAGGTAGATAAATCCCCGGGACCCGATCAGGGTTTCCCAGAACTCTGTGGGAAGCTAGGGAAGAGATTGCTGGACCCCTTGCTGAGATATTTGTATCATCAATAGCCACGGGCGAGGTGCCAGAAGTTTGGAGGTTGGCTAACATGGTGCCATTATTTAAGAAAGGCTTTAAAGTCAAGCCAGGAAAGTGAGCCTTATGTCAGTAGTGGGCAAGTTGTTGGAAGGGATTTTGAGGGACAGGATTTGCATGCATTTGGAAAGGCAAGGACTGATTAGGGATAGTCAACATGGGCATTGTGCGTGGGAAATCATGTCTAACTAACTTGATTGACTTTTTTGAAGTGACATGGAAGATTGATGAAGGCAGAGTGGTAAATATTGTCTATATAGACTTCAGCAAGGCAAGATTCTGCATGGTTAATTGGTTAGTAAGGTTAGATTACATTTGATTCAGGGAGAGCTAGCCAATTGGATACAAAATTGGCTTGAAGGTATGAGACAGAAGGTGGTGGTAGAGGGCTGTTTTCATACTGGAAGCCTGAGACCAGTGGTGTGCCACAAGGATCAGTGCTGGATCAACTGCTTTTCGTCATCTATATAAATGATTTGGATGTGAATATAGGAGGTGTGGTTAATAGGTTTGTAGGTGACATCAAAATAGGTGGTGCAGTAGACCATGAAGAGATTATCTCAAGGTACAATGAGACCTTGATCAGATGGGCCAATGCACCGAGGAGTGGCAGATGGAATTTCATTTGAATAAATATGAGGTGTTGCATTTTGGTAAAGCAAATCAGGGTGGGACTTTTTCAGTTAATAGTAGGGCCCTGGGGAGTGAAGCAGAACAAAGAGCCTTTGGAGTGCAGATTCATAATTCCTTGAAAATGGTGTTGCAGGTAGACAGGATAGTGAAGAAGGCATTTGGCATAACAAGGTGTAGAGCTGGATGAACACAGCAGGCCAAGCAGCATCATAGGAGCAGGAAGGCTGACGTTTTGGGCCTAGACCCTTCTTGGGTCATCATGTTACAGCTGTACAGAACATTGGTGAGGCTACTTTTAGAATACTGCACAATTCTGGTCTCCCTTCTATTGGAAGGATGTTGTTAAACTTGAGAGGGTGCAGAAAAAATTTACAAGGACCTTGCTGGGACTGGCGGATTTGAGTTATAGAAAGAGGCTGAATAGGCTGGGGCTTTTTTTTCCTGGAGCATCCGAGACTGAGGGGGTGACCTTTTAGAGGTTGATAAAATCATGAGGAGCATGGATAGGGTAAACACTCATGGTTTTTTTTTCCTACATGGGCAAGTCCAAAACTAGAAGACATAGGTTTAACGTGAGATGGGAAAGATTTAAAAAGGACCTGAGAGGTAACTTTTTTCACGCAGAGGGTGGTGCTGTAGGGCACGAAGTGCAAGAGGACATGGTGGAGGTGGGTACAATTACAACATTTAAAAGGCATCTGGGTGGGTATATGATTAGAGGGATATGGACCAAATGCTTACAAATAGGACTAAGTAAGATTGGGATATCTGGTTGGTGCCCGACAAGCTGGACCGAAGGTTCTGTGTGCTCTAAAACTCTGAAGTGAACTGGGTGGAGAGATGAGCAGGAATAACGAAAAGGAAGTAGTGGTTGACTTTTAAGGAGGCAATTCATGATGCTCTGCAAAAAGTTCTAAGAAAGGGATATTCATCAAGTTGAGTAATGAGAAGGCCAAAGTCAATGATAGTCCTGAAGACAGGGATTAATTCAGAATCCATCAAAGAACACAAAGACAGAGAAAATAAACGACGGAGGCAAACTAGCGAGGAATATAAAAACTGACAAATAAGAGTTTTTTTTTAATATAAAAAAAACTTTTTGTTTACATGGCTAGGAGAGCTTTCAATGACTATTTGAATAGAAATAGTGTGCAGGCATTTAGTGAAAAAGGCATGAGATCGGCTTGAAGAGCCTGTGCGGGCGCGATGGGCCGAATGGCCTGCTTCTGGGCCGTAACAATTCCGTGAATCTGACACACTCGGTCTCGGATAAAATCTTTTGAAGGTTAGTGAGGGAAAAAGTTGCTAAAAACATCGGAAATTAGTTAGTTACAGTTCACACTTCCTGACCAGTGGAATGACTAATTTACGGAAGGTGGTTTGTGCTTTTGAAGTTCGATTCTAATAGAAAATCCCTGTTGCTGATGATGGAGACACACACACACCCGTTCCCAATGCAATAAACGCTCCGGTTACATTTTAAAGAGCCACATTAAAACAGTTGCAAACTTTGGGGATCGTACACTTTAATACTCAGCTGGATCTACGCGACTCAATCCCAGAAATTGTATATTAAACTCACGAGGTGAAAACTTAACACATAAAAGAACACATTGAAAGGAAATATCACAATTACCTTGCTGCTAAGAGTGCAGATCATTGTGGCAGGCAGTTGGTCTGTAATCTAGCACCAACGGCCTGGAACCCTGCAATTTATACAGTGCAAGAAGAGGAACTGGTTGGGCCAGTTGAGTCCCTTCCTGCTCCTATGATGCTGCTTGGCCTGCTGTGTTCATCCAGCTCCACACCTTGTTATCTGAGTACTGTACGAGCAAGTTATTGTATCAGTCTTGTCTCCTGCCAGCAAGCTGAAACAAAGTTGGTGCAACTTAGAAACAAAAACAGAAGTTGCTGGAAAAGCTCAGCAGGTCTGGCAACATCTATGGAGTTAACGTTTCAGGTCTGATAACCCTTCCTCAGAACTGATGGTAGCTAGGAAAATGTCAGGCTATATGCAGAAGATAGGGTGGGGGGAGGTGGAAGGACTAAATGATGGGTAGGGATAGAGCCAAAGAGAGAGAAGAACTGTTGTACAGACAAAAGAATTGATAATGATCTGGCGAGGAGGGTAAATAGCTGTTCATGGGGACTTGTTAGTGGCTAACAATAGGCAAAGTGTAATGGCAGGCTATGTGATAACAAGGCCTCAGAGATAGTAGGAACTGCCGATGCTGGAGAATCTGAGATAACAAGGTGTAGACCTGGATGAACACAGCAGGCCAAGCAGCATCAGAGGAGCAGGAAAGCTGACGTTTCAGGTCTGGAGCCTTCTTTAGAAATCACAAGGCCTGTTGTGTGGGGTAGGGGAGTAGGACATGGGCGGGTTCAGGGCCTTAAAATTATTGAACTCAGTACTGAGTCGGGAGGGCTGAAGGTGTTGTTCTTCCAGCTTGCACTGAGCTTTGCTGGAACACTTCAGCAGGCCTGAGACAGAGATGTTGGCTGGGCGGTGTGTTAAAGTGGTAAAGTGGGCAGAACGTAGATGTTCTGTGAAGTGGTCACCCAGTCTAAGCTTTGTTTCCCCAGTGTAGAGGAGACCACATTGTGACCAGCGAATGCATTAGATTAGATTCTGAAGGGAAGTGCAGGTGAAAGACCTTGTCCAAAGAAATGGGCCTGGAGGCAAAGATGGCGGAAGAAGAGCTCGACGTTATGTTGTGCATGAAATTCGTTAAGGTGGGGACACAGAGGGATAAAGCCGTGACCTTTGCTGAGTACAGAACGTTCAGTTTTGGAGAGCAGAAGGTTGGGAAGGATGAGTACCCTCCTTCCCCAGAAATGAGGAAAGGAAGGGAGAGATCAGAGGTAGACCAGGTGAAATTGAGGGTAGGGTGGAAACTGGAAGTGAAACTGATGAACTTTTCCAATTCCAGATGAGAGAGAGAAGCAGCACCGATGATATCTGAGATAACAAGGTGTAGAGCTGGATGAACACAGCAGGCCAGGCAGCATCAGAGGAGCTCAAAGCTGACGTTTGTTATCTCAGATTCTCCAGCATCAGCAGTTCCCACTATCACCGATGATATCTTTTCCTTTCAGGCATCAAGTCACACAAGATGCAGCAATTCAGAGATACTCATGGCCCTCTGAGTACCTTCCTCCCCTCCCCTTCTATCTGACTCCATCACCTCCCCCAACCCCACATCATGTTGGGTATTCACCATCATTCCCAACCTTCCGCTTTCTGATACTGAACGTTCTGTACTCAGCAAAGGTCTCAGCTTTATTCCTCTGTGTCCCCGCCTTAACGAATTTCAGGCACATCATGACATCAAGCTCTTCTTCCGCTGTCTTCGCCTTCGTGCCCATTTCTTTGGACAAGAGTCCTCACCCCGCCCCACAGACCCCTTCACCCAGCTCCAACACACTGCCTCCACCTGGACCTCTCCCTCTAGCCTTTTACCTGCAGTCGATCTGTTCAGTAAGAACTGTCAACGTGACTTTGCTTGCGTCAATTTCTCTGCCCTCCTTCACCCCATCCAACCCATCTCTTTCCAAACTGACTGTGCTCTGTGCGCTTAGATTCAACCCTGTCCTGCGAGAGTGAGCTGTTTCTGTAGTATTCATTAACATTTTAACTTTAAATAGTTATCTCTTACACTTTCGAGGGCTGGAGGCCACAGGAGCAGCCTTGGCTGTGACAAGGTGTATGTGGGAGGAAGGGAGGGCCATCACTTGTTAGTCTGTATTACACCTTTGGCAACCCCTCCACCTTTTCCTGCCTGCTGTCAGCTGGACCAGACTACCTTAGTGCATTGCATCTTGAATCCTCTGAACCACATGCACCTTGGGAATAACAGCTTTGCTGAGGTCACCAAAGGAACTCTTGGAAGTTAGCAAACTATCATTACAGAAAAGCACTGTGAGCTGATCACTTTGGTGAGAAAACTATTGCTGACCATGGAGTATCCATATCAGATTTTCCACATTTGTTCACAGTGTGCTTTACAGTGTGTTTTGACTGCATTGTCAGTTTATCATGAACGATTGCATATCTCCACCCCAGTTCCAGCTTACCCACTGCTGAAACGATTACTCATGTTTTGTTAATTCCAGATTCAATTAGGTTAATGCTTTCCTGGCTGCCTTCCTTCTTCACATCCATACAGCTTTGAATACTCTCAAAATTCTTTTCACTTCTGTTCTAAGTCACAACGTGTCCCTTTTTCTCATCACCCCTGCGTTTTCTGGCCAACACCAAACCAGCAGCTCCACAAATTAAAAATTTTCAACATTGATTTCAAATTTTTCCATGGTCTCGCCATTCTCTATCTCTGAAATTTTCTCCTAAGCCAGAGCCCTCCAAGATATTTGCTCCTCCAAATCTCGTCCCTTGAACATTCCTGATTTTAATCTCCCTATCATTGTTTTGGATTTCTTCAGTCGCCCAGACCCCATGATCTGGGATTTCCTCCCTAAACCTCTCCACTTGTCTCTCCTTCTTAGGTGTTCCGTAAGCTGTATCTATATGACCAAACTTTTGGTCTTAATACCTCTTTCTGAGGCCCAGTGACAAATTTTAATATGAAAACATACAGTGAAGAGCCTTGAGACATCATTTCTGTGTACTAAAGGTGTTTTATAAATACCAGTTGCTACGTAAAGTTGTATTACCAGATGAACAATTTAAAAAATCATAGCCACAGCATTTCCCTTTTCGTGATTTTATTTGTATAATCATGTGGTGGATGGAAGAAGATAGTCTTGCAGGATTTCTTTCACACACTTAATCAATATATACACATTTTGTTAAAATCAAAATTGGCTACTTGCAAAGTTATCACTGTGGATTGGAGTTCATTAGTATCAAGTCAAATTGATGCAGACTGAAGTATTTTCCTGGTGTGTTTTAAATGATCTTGGATCGCATATCATTCAATCAGCTTGAGATGTGGAAACTTTATTGACAATACATGCGTGATATTTGTAAAGTCAGATGGATTAAAATCTGCCTCCTTAAAAAAATTGCAAATCATGAACTAAAATTTTACAACTTTACTTCCTAAAGGTTTATCCACGTGATGTGTAGCCCAACTAATGCTGGTGAATGTATTAAAATGCAAAATTAAGAGGCACCCTAACATCATCATACAGCATTTTCTTAAAAAAAAAACAACTTCGTATATGAATAGATACAGCTTTGCTTTACAAAATTGTATCAAAATACATCAGGATTTCAAACATACAATGAAGTTCTGGTGTAGTTAAATGCCATTGTAGTGTCACCTTTCCCAGGAGTTTGGTTAATGCAGATATTTGACAGGCTTTGCAGGTAGTGATATTGTTTATGAGAGGGAGAAATAGGTAGACTTTCTCCTCCTGAAAGAAAAACAGTGAAGAGTGGGTTTAGGCATTTGGTACAGTGCATTCTGATGGTCAGCTGTCTCTCAATGCTTTAGTGTTCTTGTTCTCCAAGTCAGAAAGATCTGGGTTCAAGACGCATTTTGGAGACTTAAACACAGAACCTAGGTCCCAATGCAGTACTGAGGGAATGCCACACTGTTCAAGGTTCTGTCTTTTGAATGAGATGTTAATCCAATTTATTGCCTGATCTGTCAGAAAGGTGTAAAATATCCCATTGTTACTATTTCAAAGGAGAGTCAGGCAGATCTCCCTGGTTTCTCAGCCAATGTAACAAAAGATCAATCAGTTATTATCACATTGCTGTTTGGGATCTTCCTGTGTGTAAAATGAATTCTACATTTCCTAAATTGTAACGCTTCAAAAATAGGGGCAAAGTACTGCAGAGCTGGAGTCTGTACTGAAAATAACAAATGCTGGAGATCACAAGTCAGACAGCATCCATGGAGAGAGAGCAAGCTAGTGTTTCGAGTCAAGATGACTAGCGTAGACTTGAAACATTAGCTTGCTCTCTCTCCATGGATGCTGTCTGACTCGCTGTGATCTCCAGCATTTGTTGTTTTCAACATTTCATAAATAGTACACTGAACGTGAACCAACTGGTGGGTATGTTTTATATGCAAATTGGTCTAATTTGAATTATTTTGCATAATTTTTCAGAGCATTTTTTAATCAATTCATGGATTGTGGGTGTCACTGGCAAGGCCAGTGCTTAGTGTCCCTCTTTAATTCCCTTAAGAATACAGTGCTAAGCTACCTTCTTGAACTCCTGTAGTGCATCTTACTGGTCTCTATGCTGTTTGGAAGGAAGGCCCAGGATTTTGGTGCAGTGGTAGAGAAGGAACAGCAATATAGTTTCCAGGCTGGATGCAGAAATGTAGCCAGTTTGGAAAATTACAGATGATGATGTTCCCATATCTCTGCTGTCATTGTCCTTGGTAAAGGACACAACTCAGAAGGTGCTGTTGAAGGAGCCTTGATGACTTACTGCAGTGCATCTTGTAGATGTTACACTGATGCTACTGTGCTCCAGTGGTGGAGGTTGGGGTGTCAATCAAACAGGCTGCTTTATCTTGTAAGGCATGGAACCTTGTTGTTTGTGTTGAAGCTGCACTCAGGCAGGCAAGTATAGAATGCTGCATCACAGTCTTGACTTCAGGATGTGAGTTACTCATTACATAATTCCTAGCCTTTTACCTTCTCTTTTAGCCGTGATACCTACCTGTTCAGTTAAGAGTATGGTCAACTAAACCATGAGTACTCTGCTAATCATAGAATCCCTACAGCATGGAAACAGGCCATTTAGCCCAACAAATCCACACCACCCCTCCCAAGAGC